TATTAAAAGTTTTCTCTTTTGCAGATAAGAAAATCCCTAGGCCCCTTCCAACTCTAAATTCTGTAAACTTCTTGGTTCACATATTGGTTACTGACTTCGAGACGCCCCCCAGATCAAGAGTCAACCATATTTTCCTGCGGAAGAACTTGATGTCTTCTTCTGTTTTGTAGACAGGCAAGAGGACACTGCAATAGAGTGCAATTCTCTGACTTACAGTTAGCATCTAGCAAACCTTGCCAACCAGCATGGGCACCAGCTCACTCTGGAGACTGATCACACGTACTGCATTTGGAGACCCCTTTACTGGATGATAACTCCTGATCTATCCATCCTTATAGTTGGTATAACTCAGCAGTCCTATTGGTCAGCAAATTATCTGTGCTGCCCTCTCAGATCCGCCCATGCCTCACAGGCATTAATTTATACTGAAGCCGTTTGGCTGTGTGTTTCAGATTTGCCCTTTATGTTCTTCTGACGACTCTTTGAGACAAAGTTAAAGATTATGAACCTTAGCTTGAACTGACTGGTGTCATGGCAACTAGCACTTCACCTTTTGCTGGTCTCTACCTCATACATGCTACAATATTTGTGCACATTAATAATTCATTGCAAAGTGCCAGATTTCTTTGTGCTGTCAAGCAGTGTCAAGGACAGAATATGCTGTGCTATCTCAAATGTCATCTACCAGACTGTTGAGGGCAAGAGTAATTAGAAAAGAAAACTAGTCAGGTTACTTGGGAAAATTCCTGAAAATGTGATGCTTTCTAGTCACCCAACTATAGCATTTTTCTTGCAAAATATGGAATAGAATTCATGTTGATCAAAGTTTGTTTAATAATGCACCCCAGACATAAGGCAGGAGTTTGGAGTAATTGCTCGCCTCTATTCAGGCAGCAAAGGAAATGATTAACAGCCTTCGTGCTCAGTCACGTGTACTGGGCTCCAGCGGGAACCTGAGCACAGGCTTAAAAGAAACCCGAGTGGTCCTCATGTGGGTGCTCCTACCCCAAGCCTGCCTTTGCCTGACACAGAGCAGAGCTGAGTAAATGTTTGACACCAGCTTTAGAAACAAGCTGTCTGGGATCTCAGGCTGATTAGCGGCCCTAGATAGCTTTCTTCACCTCTCAGTTCCCACCGCGCAGCTCTTTGGTGGTTGTTGACGCTGTGAGTGGTTGTTATAGTAATTGCAGTGTTGCCTGTAATTAATGAGCCTTTCAAATAAAGAATATGGATCTTTGTCTTAAAATGTAGAAAATGCAAAGATACGTTGGATTTAATTTATACAGAAGGCCAAATTTGTCCTTGATTAGGCAAAGAAATCAAGTTTTAAACTGAACATTGACCCACCTGTGCTTTACAAAACAAAACAATCTCCCTCTCAAAAGAAAGCTTCATATTACAACAAGCCAATCTGTGTCATACTTTACTCTTTAAAATTGGAATGTATTTCCCCAAATGTTTATAGCCCACAATTGGAAAAGATTTTTTTCACATAGCCATATCTGGATTGTTTGGTTTCTCTTTCTCTCTCCCTTCTTCTCTCTTCCCGCCTCCTCTCTCTCTCTCTCTCTCTCTCTCTGTCCCCCTCGCCCTTTTTTGTTTCCTTTTCCTTTAAACCAGTAGCTTAACTCTTCTTCAAACAATTTGGGGGTGGGGGGAGGGTCCCACAGTGGGAAATGTGTCCCCAAATCACATTTTTTAGAATATGCAGCCATAGTACCCTCCTTATGGAGAAACTGGAACTATTTTATATAACTTAATACCACCAGATTCATTTCAGGGCAAGAAGGGGAGGGGACATTAATCAGTTTCAGAACCTTGTAACAAATTACACTTAAAGAACAGTTAGGAACTTGTTAATCTTCTGTCACCTACCTTGATGTGGTGCTGGGGATCTGGATTAGTCATTTAACACCTGCAGGCAAGACCAGAGCACGTGAATACAGGGAAGTCATTAGAGCCAACCTGCTATGATATCTGAGTTTCTAGTCAGAGCCAGCCGCTGGCTCGAGTTAGACTGGACATGTGAGTGAGTGATTCAGATTTGTCAGGTAACCAAGTACATGCCTGGCTAACTTTTTGTGTTTTTTTTGTAGAGTCAGGGTTTCACAGTGTTTCCTAGGGTGGTCTTGAACTCCTGGGCTCAAGTGATCCTCCTGCCTTAGCCTCCCCCAAAGCTTGGGGATTACAAGTGTGAGCCACTGTGCCCAGCTGTTTTCTAGTTTAGATTGGAATACATAAACTCCATTGTGATGTTAACTTTTTTTCAATTCTGTGATATAATAACCATGTATAAATTATAGAGCCTAAAGTTGAACCCATAATAACCTGAAGTACCAGTTCTTGACTTTTTTAGTAACAGATCAAAATAATAATTACTGTCATAATTACTCTTTCTGTTTTTACTACTACAAAGAAATACAATCAAGCTGAAACATGTGTCTCTCTTCCTCAGCATTGTACTTGGGCAATGCAGTAATAAGGAGTGGGTTCACTTGCTGTATTAGTCTGTTCTCATACTGCCATACAGAAATTCGTGAGACTGGGTAATTTACAAAAACAAGAAGTCTAATTGGCTCATGGTTCTGCAGGCTGTACAGCAAGCATAGAGGCTTCTGCTCCATTTCTGGGGAAGCCTCAGGGAGCTTTCAATCATGGTAGAAGGCAAAGAGGGTACAGCAGTAAACACTGCGGAAGCAGGAGGAAGTGAGGGGGTGGGTAGGGGTGGGGGCTGCACACATTTTAACAACCCGATCTCGCAAGAACTCACTCATTATCACTAGAGCAGCACCAGGAAATGGTCCTGAACCATACATGAAAGATCACTCCCATGGTCCAGTTACCTCCCACCAGGCCATACCTCTGACATTGGGGATTATAGTTGACATGACATTTGGGTAGGGGTACAGATCCAAACCATATCACTAGTTCTCCTCCACAGTGCCTGTCTCTGTGTAGCAAAGTAATTTTCCCTTAATATTTGGAAGATTGATCTGGGTCTTCCAGCTTAGTCTGGAACAGTCAGACAAATAAGTATAAGACAATCAAAATCAAAACACTATTAAACATATAATCATGTTAAGGTGAATGGTACTGACTATACATCTTACAGAAATATAGACAAAGTCAGGCTGACCTAGAATAATATTAGATAAAGGTTTTAACACCCTAACTACCTTCAATAAAGAATTATTAGGAGACTCCAGTGACATAAAGCACTTTGAAAAGTATGAGAGACTGTATAAATATGTGATGAATATTACACTTTGATTTACATAGGAAGGGTCAGGGATAGATTATCAGAAGAGTTCCTGGGTCAAATGACACAGGTGAGAATAAGCATTTCATGGGTACTGATGAGGAAACTCAAACAGTATGAGTTGGGACTGGGGTGATGCATGATGACTGGGGAAGACCTTGGGATACTTCACAAAAATTCATGTGGCGTCTGTATGAATAATTGATGGGAGCATAGAAAAACATCAGAATTAATGGAATTGCTGTTTTCAAGCTTTACACATAAAAATTATAACAAATTAGATCGGGTCAAGGGCAATGGCTCATGCCTGTAATCCCAGCACTTTAGGAGGCCGAGATGGGAGGATCACTTGAGCCCAGGAGTTCAAGACTGGCCTGGGCAACATAGTGAGACCCCTTCTCTACAAAAAATTAAAAATTAGCTGGGCACGGTGACGTACATCTGTAGTCCCAGCTACTCGGGAGGCTGAGGCAGAAGGATCACTTGAGCCCAGGAGTTCGAGGCTATGATTATGCCATTGCACTCCAACCTGGGCAACACTGCAAAACCCTGTCCCCCACCCCACCCCCACCCCCCCAGAAAAAACCCACAAACCCAAATTAGGTTTCATGCAAAAACTCAGTGATACCTTAGCCAGTAAATCCTCTGAGAAGGGAATGCAGCTCTTCCTTAAATCTGCTCTGTAGTGTTTGGTTGTGTGGGTTTTTTTAACTTCATAAATCATGGGAAGCTGTGCTGGCAGTAGGAGATAACTCAGCAGTAGACAGATTGCTCTTCACTGCTTTCTTTTAAGAAGCAGGTTATAAAACTGTTGGGAGCCTGGTAGAGTAGTTAATAGATCATTGTAAGCAATTTGAAGTAATTTTTTTTTTTTTTTGTCTGATACAGCCTTGCATTTTGAAGACAAGCGAGCTAGAGAGAAAAGAGTTTAGTGAGTAAGAAATCAGCGCCGCCTCTGATTTCGTGCCACCTCTAGCACAAGTTCCAGGGCCCCTGGGTCCCCCACCCTGGAACGTGTGCCACACTCTGCCTCACTGTGTGGCCAGTCACCTGCATCTGTGGCAGAGTCCTTGCAGTGAAACCCACGTTGGAATGTGACTGTTCAGAATGATACATGTTCTTGTCAGTGTACAGTTGGCATTATAATATATTTTTCACAAAAATAGTTCTATAATTTACCCTGTTTTTTACATCCTAAAATACTTTGTCTCCTGCTAGTTCACTTTGGTGGTAAGCCTTGGGATTCCAGAGCACACTGCTGGAGTATCTCTTCATTGATGGGTCTGTTACTATGTAGACATCGCCACAAGGCACACATTAATACAAGGCAATGTTTGTAGTAGGCTGTGGTCCCTCCCAAACCATGAGATAGCTGCATTGAAGTGTCATGAGCAGAAACAAATCTCTGGCTTGGGAGTACTTTAAATTAGCAGATAACTGTCACTTGAAAGGTGATTAAGAACCTTCTGCCAATGGCTCTCTTTTCATCTCTAGACACTGTCCACAAAAGCTCTTACATTACAGTCTTGTCGGTCATGACTTACAATAGGCCTGCCATGCTGATGATACAGTGCTAAGCTAACCAGACAATTAAAAGATCTTCTTGATAAACGTAAAATATTTTTAAAGGAATTGGGAAATGTAACATCATGTGAATAAAAATTTGTTTTGTGATCTTGGATTGGGTTTTAGATTAAATTCATGACGTCAGTTCTAAAACTTGAATCTAACTTTGTTTCAGACCACTAAGGCTTTTCTTCCTACGATGCTGGAGATTAATCATGGTCATATTGTGACAGTTGCAAGTTCCTTGGGATTGTTCAGTACTGCCGGAGTTGAGGTTTGTCAGATATATAGCATTTCTTTCATTCAATCTGTTTATCCTGTGATAAGTATATCAGAACCTCCAGGAGAGCACCTGCTGCACCTCCATTCATGAAAGCTGCACAAAGGCACTCTGCATGTGTGCTGCGTATAGGATGTTCCACAGGAACCCAGGGCCAGCCACCGGAAGGGAATTCTAAGTCAGGTGTGGTGGCGTGCACCTGTAGTCCTAGCTACTTGGGAGGCTGAGGTGGGAGAATCGCTTGAGCCCAGGTGTTCAAGACTGCAGTGAGCTATGATGGCACCACTGCACTTCAGCCTGGGAGACAGAGCAAGACCCTGTCTCTAAAACAAAATGAAAAAAGGGAATGGACTTCTGCCTCTTCTGCCATAAAATCTCTTACACTAGTTTGACAAAGCAGCAGCAACAAGAAAAGTATATGGGCCAGCCCTCAGTGTGTCCATTTTTATTAGCAGCTTCGCTTGACGATGGCAGGAGGCACAGGGCCAAGAATAGAACCATGGAAGGCTGCGGGAAACAGAAGAATGAGGCCAGAGGTTCACGTTCGGTTGTGGTCACCTTGCCAAAACTGAGCTATCTTGTATTAATTAGCCCATCAGATGAGGTGGTCAGGTATCCTGCATTGTAAGTTTATAGAATTGTAGAACTGGATTTCATCAAACCCTGTTCTTCACGATATTCAGATGATAAAGCATGAGTACATATATTGTTCTGTCCTGTTTGTCCTCTGCATGCCTGTAAAACTGAAAACATCACTCCATGCAAATATGCAAAAGGACACATTATTTAAATAGCACCCATATCAAGGGATTCCATTTCTAAAGTTGGGCCATGGACAATAACTTTTTTCCTATATTGTGTGCCCTTAGGTTAAGTTCTAGTTTAAGATTACAAGGCATGGTTATCGTTTTCATTTTAACTTCACCATACAAAGAAAGTCAAATCATAACAATTTATAGCCTAAGCTAGATTTGCCTTTATTCTTCTTGCATTAAACAAACTGGTTTTTCTTTCTCCTTTACTGAACAAGAGACCATTTGTAAATTTTCCAGACACTTCAAAGTGAACCTCTCTCCATTTTAACTTCAGCTTGTTAGCTTTCATAGAATCCTTTATGGTAACTTCCCCAAAGTAATATGATACTTAGTTGATGTGACAAAAAGCATTCATCTGTTTCTGCTATTGCTTTGAAAATATTATTTCTGCACTGAACCACATCAGGTATCTGTCTTTGTTTTTGTTTTGTTTTGTTTTGTTTTTTTGAGATGGAGTCTCACTCTTATCGCACAGGCTGGAGTGCAGTGGCATGATCTCGGCTAATTGCAACCTCCACTTCCCAGGTTCAAGCAATTCTCCTGCCTCAGCCTCCTGAGTAGCTGGGACTACAGGCACATGCCCACCATGCCCAGCTAATTTTTGTATTTTTAGTAGAGGCGGGGTTTCACCATTTTGGCCAGGCTGGTCTCGAACTCCTGACCTCAAGTGATCCAGCCACCTTGGCCTCCCAAAGTGCTGGGATTACAGACGTGAGCCATCGCGCCCAGCCAGGTATCTGTTTTTTAAAATGATTTCCTTTTCTTCATGTAGTCACCTGTAACCCTATGTGTTAGACATCCAACCATAGTAATAGGACCAGGGAGGCTTCAGTTGGGTTGGGGATAGGGGCATATGCTTAGTATTTCTGCTTTCTCCCCTCTTTAACTCAGGATTACTGTGCCAGTAAATTTGGAGTTGTGGGTTTTCATGAATCCCTGAGCCATGAACTAAAGGCTGCTGAAAAGGATGGAATTAAAACAACTTTGGTTTGCCCTTATCTTGTAGACACTGGCATGTTCAGAGGCTGCCGAATCAGGTCAGTGAGAACCTATATTATTACTGATAAAAAGAATAATATTGGGAGAATATGTGGAATTGGACTTTCAAACATAGCCTTGTATTTTAACTATCATTTGACAATCTGTGGCTTTCGTTGGTCAAGATTAAGTTTGTAAAATTGGTATGTAAGATGGCAAGGGAGAGACTGGTGCCACACTGATACTAATTTGCAAAAATTAATCCAGAATCATCAGATAGGAAATGGCTTCTCTGTAAAGAGAAAACATAGATATCCAGTCTTTTCCTTAGAAGCTCACCTTTTGGAGTTACTTGTTTCTTTAATATTGGTATTGGTAAATAGGGATTCCAGAAGAAAATTCCTTCATGTGACTTGGGTCTGGATGTGAAACAATGTCACTGTCACAGAGATTAACATGCCTTTCTTCTGGAAAGACCACTGAATATTACACTCCAGATTTGGAAACGTCCTTTTTGCAGCAAGCGTATGTAACTAGATTCACTCTGGCAGAATGAGAAGAACCATTTAGATGTACTGAAAAATGAAATAAAATACCCACACACATAGAAAGGAGGCATGTGGGAATATAAATGTCAAGTTACATCTGACTTGAGCTCAGCAGAATAAACAAAACCGTGAATCATTAAGAGGATGCTTGTGAAGACATGCTTACTTTGAAATCTTTGCTTGGGTGAATTTGAAAGGCAAAGGGAAGATAACCAAACCAGTTCCCTGTTGGTTGGGGGCCATTCTTAACATGTACTGAACTGAACAAGCAGCAAAATAGGTGGAAGGTGATTTGAATCACTCCAAAGTCAGGGTGACTCCAAGTCTGAACTGGAAAATGGACTCCAGCTCTGCCTCTTATCCCACACACGTGTGTGTTTGTGTGAACATGTGTGTGTGTGTTGGTGGTTTGTTTTGTTTTGTTTTGTTTTCCTCTTATGTACTTGGGAGGCAGTTGCTGAGGGTCTTGCAGAGCTCTGTTTCCTCCAGTGTAGCATAGCAGCAGGTGCAGGGGTCCAAAGCTATGGTGGCAAAATGAAGAATGAAAGGAATAAATTGCACACCGTCATTTCAACATGTAACCTAGTGAATTAAACTGAAGGTAGGATGTCTATATGCCCTTCATTTCAGGGGCCCCTAGAGAATATACCTTAGCTTTCCCTCTTCCAGCATCCTGGAAAGTAGATACCTGGCCCTCCTTTCACTTTGAAAGCTTACCCCCTCATTTTCACTACACCTAATACTAAAAGCTTGGCATCTTGCTTGGGATTAGTGTTTGCTATGCCAAACACCCTCTCCTCTTTCTATTGAAAGCAAAACATAGGAAAATAATTTGAAATACATTTTAAGGCATCTTAAAAACATGACTTTTTCATCTTATGGAAAAGCAGACCAATTTTACTTTTTTTCCCCCAACTTGTTTTCTAGACTGTGCCAGTAAAATGTGTTCATAGTAGGAAAATTTGGAAAATACAGAAAAGCACTATGAAGAAAACAAAATGTACCCAAAATCCCATCACTCAGATAACGTCACTGTTAATGTTTTGATATGTATTTCCAGTCTTTTCTATTGTGTTAATTCTTCATTTTGTTTTTGAATAAATAACTTTCAGGAAAGAAATTGAGCCTTTTCTGCCACCTCTGAAGCCTGATTACTGTGTGAAGCAGGCCATGAAGGCCATCCTCACTGACCAGCCCATGATCTGCACCCCTCGCCTCATGTACATCGTGACCTTCATGAAGAGGTAACTGGGAGGGTTCCCTCACTGACCAGGTCTCTCCATGCCTGCCCGATGTCTTAGTTGAAACTTCAAGTTTGCTAACAGCTGTGACTTTCCTCTTTCAGCATCCTCCCATTTGAAGCAGTTGTGTGCATGTATCGGTTCCTAGGAGCGGACAAGTGTATGTACCCCTTTATTGCTCAAAGAAAGCAAGCCACAAACAATAATGAAGCAAAAAATGGAATCTAAGAATCTTTTTGTATGGAATATTACTTCTATCAGAAGATGATCCAGATGTTTCAGTCCAATGCACATCAGCATTGCTGACATTTTATGGATTCTAAACTTGTGTTGTTTCTTTTTTTAATCAACTTTTTAAAAAAATAAAGTGTAAATTAACCGACTAGAGTACTTGGAAAATGTGATCAGTAAAAGTGAACTTAGGTTGTTGCCAACAGGGTCCTTTTAGGCAGAACCCAAAAACCAGTCAAATCTTTAGAGAAGCACTGTGTGACATCTTCAGGTTACCATTATTTTTTTAATGAGCAGGAAGTCTAGAAATGATAACTAGACTGTATATTTCATGTGTGTGATTTTTCAGAATTCCCATAGAGTTTACTCATTCTTGTTATTAAACTCCAGCCAGTTGACATCTTCGCAATTTCAAGGACTGATAGTGCTATATTTTCTCATGTTTTCTAAGTTTCCGTTTTGCAAGGCCTAGGTGGCTTTTTCATGGTGTTTGTATGTTTAGCTCTTTTGAAAAGGAATTTTGAAATCTGCATCAACTGAAGTAAATGATATCTGAGTATTACAGTAAAGGTGACCAAGTGTCTTTCTTAAAGTCACAATGACTAAAGTATTAGCTGAATTTTTTTTTTTTTTTTTTTTTTTGAGACAGAGTCTCGCTCTGTACCAGGCTGGAGTGCAGTAGCACAATCTCGGCTCACTGCAGTCTCTGCCTCACAGGTTCAAGTGATTCTCCTGCCTCAGCCTCCTGAGTAGCTGGGACTACAAGCACGCGCCACCATGCCCAGCTAATTTTTATATTTTTAGTAGAGATGGGGTTTCACCATGTTGGTCACGATTGTCTCCATCTCTTGACATCGTGATCCGCCCGCCTCAGCCTCCCAAAGTGCTGGGATTACAGGCATGAGCCACTGCGCCCAGCCTTGAATTTTTAATTTTATCTCTGAAATACTTCATTAAGTGTCTGGAGACCTAATTATCCTAAAAGATCATCCATTTTCTACCTATGAATTTTGCTGCATACAGAAAGTGCCCTTCCCTCAGGAAGTTGCTGTGTTTCATTTCTTTGGATGGACTCTTACCTAGAATACATAGCAGCTCTGCAAAGAAACAGGTTTTAAAAATGGGAACTTCTACATTGAAAAGTCCCCATTTTTGTGCCAACTATAATGAGTGAGAGGGAGAAATCTTATTCTATGGCATATGTATGGAAAGGTGTAAAGATTCTTTTGAAAGTTTTATTCACGTTGTAGAACAGCAAATGACATTTTTACAGTATTTTTTTGTAAAGCAAACTATTTTGTGCCTTGAATTTGGTATATGTGTATTAGTGAAACATTGTAAAAGTGAACTTCTACCTCTGTATCTAAATGTATACCATCCACTTGTAAATTACTATAAACTATTATGTGATTGCCTTTTTTTTTTTTTTTTTTTTTTTAGAATGTCTTGTTTAAATAGCAGCCAATGTTTAAGGCTATTAAAATAAGCCAACTTTTACTAATTGGGGAGTTTTATAAATGACTGATTAAATTTAAAGAATTAACTTACATGCAACTGTGTGATTATTAGTTATCAGCAGTGTTGTAAGGAAAATTATTGTGTTTTTTTTTAATGATCATTATCCCACTTTAGGTAAAGAAAAATGTTGGAATGGAATAGTGTTGGGAAACAGACATTAACAACCTAGGGTGCCTGCACTCAAATAGCCAATGTTACCGTCCCTAGATTAGATACTTGATTAAGGGCTTGTTCGTACCAAAAGTGGGGAAACAATCCATGACCTGTGTTTTAGTTTGGCTGCACCACAGATCAAATCTGCACTATGTCTACATAGGAAAGGTCCTGCTATGTGCTAATGTTCCCAGTGCAGGACTTGAGGAAGAGCTCTGTTGTATGTTTCCATTTCTCTTTATAAAAGATAACCAAATCTTGTGGCCTTTATAACAATGGAGGCACTGGCTGCCTCTTAATTTTCAATCATGGACCTAAATAAGTACTCTGAAGTAGTCTCAGCAGTGCCAGGTGGGGACAGATATACTCAGAGGTTATCCAGGTCTGCCTCCCAGCGAGCCTGGAGTACAACAGACCCTCCTAGAGAAATCTGTTGTAATTTAACAACCCACTTATCCACCTTAAAACTGAGGAAAGTCTTCTTTACATCTAATTTTATTCTTGTGTGTTGTAACTTAAACCTTTTTCTATTTTTGTTTATTATTGCCCTTACAAGGGTGTCTATCTCCAAGTTCAATAAACCTAATTCATTTAACTTTTTTGTAGAAGTCTTTCATTCTCATGTCCCAGCCCAGTTCAATCACTTCTGTGGCTCTTCCTTGAATGTTGTCCAAATTCTCCCTCCCATCTTTAGCTGTGGAGTTTGGAAAGGGATACAGTTAATGCAGGTTTAGAAGTATGGAATTCCTACAAGTTGCATTTCTTCATCCCAATATCATGGTCTTACTAATGCTACATTGCTGATTGTGTGTGTGATTGTTTCTAAACATGAAATCTCTTCTAGACAAGTCTGCCTGTTTGTGTTGATCACTTATGTAATTGCCAAGGTTGCTTTTCTGGCTGGTTATTTATCTACACCTACCCCCACCCCTTAACATGAATGCTGACTCTGAATATATTCTCTTTTTTGTCATCTGGCCCATTCATGTGGGCGTTCAGGGCCACTGGACTCAAGGCTGATCCCCTAAGGAGCACCACCCCCACCTCATACTGGCACTCTCCCTTTCTCTAACCTTTCAACCAATTTAATGATAATTACATTGAGTGGGACCCAGGACTCCAAAGTTTTGAAGCCAGCAAAGATAAATTCCAACTATTGTTTCCCCCTTGATCTACCAGGTCTGCTGCTCTGTCACGAAAGATTAGCCTGACAGGATTGAGCTACGTAAAGCCAGGCTGGGTTTGTGTGTGTGTGTGTGTGTGTGTGTGTGGGTGTGGGTGTGGTGCATGTATGTGTTTGGTATCCTGTTTCCTTAGAAGGCTATAGCTTTCAAATTTTCTCAAAATGTTTTCCAACTGGCAGAAACAATTCTAAATTGACGTTGACCTGAATCTTGGAAATTTGCTTTTGCCTCCAACAAAGTATAAAATCAGTAGGGGTTGGGGGAACAGGGTCATTCTTTCTATGCCAAATGTATTGCCTGTGCCTGAATCAGAAGAGTAGGGAAAGCAAGGATGTAATGGTTCCGAAGTGGTGAGATGTGGGCCCTGGGCGGGCGTAGTCAGCATTTGCACACCAGGCATCTGCTAGGCCGAAGCGCCCATCCCAGGGACTCAAGGAGCCTGCAGGTAACTCACAAGTATACACATATGTATCTGTGTGCACATGCCACAAATGAAGCCTCAGAGTATGATGACATCTCATCTCAGTACAGAGAGAAAGGTGGCCTGGAAGGTTGGTGATGCAGTGGATGAATTTGGAAATGGGAGTTTGGGGATTCCAGGGAACAGATTCTCCGGAAAGGCCCAAAGATTAAAAAAAATTAGATTATACTCATTATGACTGAAGCATAGAACATGGGAAGAGGATGACGTGCATTCCCTAAGGAGATCCCATCTTGAGAATGGCCTTCATTCCAGGCTGAGGAATGGACCCTTCATTTGATAGGGAAGAGAGAAGCCCTAGAAAGTTTTCTGTAGCAGGAAAGTAACCGGAGCAGAGCTGTGAATTAATAGGATCAATGAAGCCGCTGTGAAGAATTTCAAGGCACAAGAAGCAGGGAGCAGTGAGGAGGGCAGCTATTGCAGTAGTCCACGGGGAGGTGGTAGGAATGGGCCCACAAGAGAGGGGGACAGGGAATGGAGGGAGAAACCCAGGCTGAGCAACTCTTCCCACAGGAGGTTGAACTTGCAAGGCCAGGTGACTGAAGATAGCTTATCACTCGAGATGAGCCAAGTGGTTTTAAGTGGGAAGAACAGAATTCACCAACAGTGAATCTGATTTAGAAATGTTGCATTTGAGATGCTGGGTGACAATAGCTGGCGGACAGGTGGATATTAACTCTGGTCCTCAGGAAACAGGTTGGTACTGGGATCCAGAAGTCATCTACATAGAGGCTGTGAAGTGAACAAATCTGGGAGGGGGAAAGCACAGAATGAGTGGAGATCCAAGGACCCAGCTTGGGGAGTGTGGGGGAGCAGCAGCAGAAGGTGTAAAAGGTGACGGAGTAAAGTTAAGAAGGGAACTTCCTCCTCCCAAGGAGAAACCAGACTAGAAACAATTATCTTCTCTGCTTGGACCTAATCCCCAGGCTGAGTCACACTTGAGAAACCTCAGTCTGGCCCAAGAAAAAGAGTCTGTGTGGCCAGCCCTGGGGCAGAGGTCCAAAAGGTGAAGGGCAGTGTTAACAGATAGCACATGGAGGCTTCGACCGCGCACTCAGGTTTCTAGTAACTGAATCCATTGTTAAAAGAACCAAAGGAAAATTTCTTCCTAAGTGAACCCTGGAAACTGTTGTTCTTTGGCGATTTTCTTTGCTTGGCATCAGAAGCATGACTCGCTTAAATGCGCAGGCAATGTTTCATCAGAACTCTGGGGAAAAACAAAATGCACTTCCAGTATCACCAGATGGATACATGTTAGTGCAAATGAACTATTTTTATGTGCCAAAAAGATGAGACAGGACCAGCTTCTATCAGGGTGCTGAAAAAGACGGGTTCCTATCTGGTCCTTGAAGCACTAAACTCACGGCGGGCCAAGAACCTTTCAGGCAGGTCCTGGATCAAGGTGAACATGCAGTGACTCCCAGCTTTCCCAGGAAACGTCACGGCAGAGCAGTGTGGAACCACAGTCTTGCTACTGTTTATTATGACGTTTTCTGGGGATTGTAGTTCCTACATTACAATAGCTATACCAAAGAATTTACACATTTCACAACTCATCTATTATTCGGGGGAACGCATTGACAACACATAGCCACACAGGCCAGAGAATCCTGCTCATTGAGTAATTATTTCTCATTTAACTTGCTCCGTTGCTGTAGAGAACTTATACAATGTCTTCCAGGAGCTCCTCACAGGCTTTTGAGCTGTGACTCTTGAAACCTTTCTTACCACTAGCAAAATGCAAGAGAATAGATTAGCAAGAAAAACAAAGCATCTTCAGCCCAGATTCTAAGTTTCAGGTTTTCCTGTCAAGGTGATTGAAACCATGCTGCAGGGAGAAATGTGTGTGCATAGCAGCTATGAAGAATGCCCCTCTCCTTGTCCATACCTCATGGGTGGTCCACCTGAATGCCACTCAGCAGGCATCCCCTCCCCCTAGGGAGGAACCCGAGCCTGGCTCCTCCACCCTAGCCCTCTGCTAGCAGGTGGCCATCTCCTGGCCAGCCCAGCTCATCGAGGGCCTGAGTGGTCCAGGAGGCTAATGAGCAGATGGGAGTCCTGCCTGGACACAGGCATACTTACGTATGTTGACAGCACAGTATCCGGCAACCACAGAGTTCCTGCTTAAGAGCTGTGGAACCTGCTTAAGAGCTGTGTTGTGGATTGGATCATGTCCCCTCAAAAGATATGTTGAAATCCTAACCCCTAGTCCCTGCAAATGTGTCCTTATTTGGAAATAGGGTATTTGCAGATATAATCAAGATGAGATCATTTTGGCTAGGCTCAGTGGCTCCTGCCTGTAATCCCAGCACTTTGGGAGGCTAAGGTGGGAGGATCACTTGAGTCCAGGAGTTCGAGACCAGCCTGGATGACATAGTGAGACCCCATGTCTACAACAAATGAGAAAATCAGCTGGGTGTGGTGGTGCACACCTGTCGTCCGAAGAATTGCTTAAGCCCAGGAGTCTGAGGTTGCAGTGAGCCATGATCATGCCACTGCACTCCAGCATGGGCGACAGAGGGAGGCCCTGTCTCAACAATGAAAAAAGATGAGGTCATTTTGGATTAGAGTAAGCCATAAATCCCATCACTGGTGTGTTCTTATACAAAAAAACACAGACACACACACACAGAACATGCCATGTAACAATAGGCAGAGATCGGACTGATGCAGCTGCAAGCCACGGAATGCCAAGGAATTGTATCCAGGACCAGCAGCTAGAAAAGAGGCATGCAGCAGACCCTTCCTCAGTGCCTCCAAAAAGGAACCAACCCTGCTGACACCTTGATTTCAGACGCATAGCCTCTAGAACTGTGAGAGCATAGATTTCTGTTATTTTAAGTATCACCCAGTTTGTGATGCTTTGGTACAGCAGCCCTAGCAAACGAATACACTCAAGGTCTGTTGTCAAACAGACTGAGTGCAAGTCTAGCTCTGCATCTCCCTAGCCATGGATCCCAGGTCTTTGTCTTAACCCTCATAAGTCTCAGTCTCCTCATGGGTACACTGGGAATAACAGCAGTACCTATAACAAGAGCATCGTGAGGAATGTGGGAGGACACAGGTAAAGCACTTAGGGCTGTGCCTACTACACCTTGGAGGTGTGCAATAGATGCATTAGGTTGAATCATATGAAATTGCTGTGACTGAACTCTTTTGACCTACAGAAAAGGCACTTTTATCTCGTTCAACTAACAGTGATGATGGGGGATAGATAGTGACAGTACTTAGATCAGAGTCTCTATTTATAGTACTGTTTTGTGTTTCCAACAATTCTCACTTCCTGACACCCACTGGATGTCCTACAGTTCAGTCCAATTCTCACACTCCCCAGAGTTAGTGCAGGTCCCACAGGTTAAGGTCTTGATCCCACAAGACTGCCTCCATTTCAGACACCAGCCAGAGAATCGCAAATGGGGTCCCCAGGCTACCCATGCTTCTGCTCAGCTGACTACAAATTCAGGGGTTCCCAAGACCTCTGCTCAGGTTTGATAATTCACTAGAATGATCCAGAACTCAGGAAAACACTATGCAGTCCTTAATTACAGTTTATGAGAAAGGGTGGCACAGGCACAGCCAGACGGAAGTGATGCACAGAGCAAGCCATGTGGGAAGGGCGCAGGCTTCCCATGCCTTCCCCAGGAGCCACCCTCCCAGCACCTCCATGTGTTCACCAACCCCGAAGTTCTCCAAACCTCCTTGGTAAAGAGTTTTTACTGAAGTTTTATTATGTAGAGGTGATTGATCAAACCATTGGCCACCGGTGAATCAATTCAGTCTCTACCCCTTTTTCTCTCCCCAGAAGTGACGGGGTTTGAAACTTCAACTCCTCCCTCGAAACTCTTAAGGGCCCACCCTGCCCACCTCATTAGCATAGACTCAGGTAGGATGGAAAGAGGCTGGTTATGAATAACAAAAGACACTCGTGTC